CTGCGGGCGGTGGCGGCCTACGAGCGCGGCTGCCTCTTCCAGTCGTGCGCGCACTACTGGGCGGACAGCCGCGGACAGCTGCACCTGGGCACGGACGCCGCGCACGGCGGGGACTACACCGGCGTGGAGCCCATGGGGCTCTTCTGGAGCCTCGCCCCCGCCGGCATGGAGAGGCCGTACCAGCGGCTGGTGCCGCGCAGCACCGGCACCCCGCTGAAGGTGGAAGTGCTGGTCCACCAGGGCCACAGCCTGCCCGGTGCCCTCCCCGGGCCGGTGGTGGCCAAGGCCGAGGTGGAACGGTGGTTCACGGCCCCCGGCGTGCGGAGGATCCGCCTGAAGGAGGGAGGCGTACGCGGCTCCCTCTTCCTGCCGCCGGGTGAGTGCCTGGGGCCGGCGGGACCGCCCGGCTTCTCTGTCCAGAGCAAGGAAAGGCTCTTTTAAAGGAAAGCGCACGTAGGGCATCACCCGGGAAATCCATAACGCCGTCCTGCAGACAGGTGGCCCTTCGTCTGGGTCTTTTTTATTACTTAAAATCTTTCGGAGACGCTCCCAAAGGCTTGCCGGGACGCGGCCCCACTTGTGCGCAACCACACTGCCTGGTCCTTGTCGGCAGGGCAGGGCTGGCACAGGCTGAAGCTACATGAGAAGAGGGGTTGTAGTCTTCCTTGTGAGACAGTTAGAAGCTGAATGAGAAGAGGGGTTGTAGAGTTTATCGTGACGCTGCTCTCAGTCTACGGTTTTTAGTAGGTTTGAGGCTCTAGACTACCAGAATCTGTAACATTCAAAAAAGCTGATATGCATCATCATGTGAGCCTGTGCCACATCTCCCAAGGATTTTATCTTGGGTAGGACCGAATCAAAAAGGCATTCTTCTTCCCTGTGAAACACATGCAAGTAAGGAGAGCAGGAGAAGAAATTCTAGACAATACTGGTATTTCACCTGCGTTACACCAGAGCCGAAACTGAGTTAATAGTTGAGTTACTTCAGTTGTTCTGGGGTATAAATGCAAAATAGAATCCTGAGCAAGTTCTACCTGTTCTGCTTGTGGGATGGTTGTGCTTTATGAGGTGTGATACTCCAGTGGACTGCTAGGGCTGTTGGAAAATGAAAGCTTACACTAATGATGGTGTTTGTACACTTGAGCCATGATTTAAACTTCCTGTATTTCCATGAGTGCTGTGCTACTAGAACTGCCCTCCATATTACCTCTAATTTGTGATGCCTTGATTCAGCAAATCTTGTAAGTACCACTACAGTTATTAGAGATTCAAGTATTTTCAGTGAATGATTTCCAAACCAATAATCTTTTTATCCATTTAGATACGGATCCAAAGTCCACTGAAGAAAAAAAACAACAACAGAGATTGAACTTTGAATTTTGGATCAAATACTTAGTCAGCATTCTGGATTTTCCATCACTGAGACGTGGTTGTTTTGATACATCCTGCCTTAGAGGATGAGCTGGGTTTCTGCTGAGCTCAGTGGGAATCCAGAGATCTGCAAGATGGAACTGCATTTTTCCCTTTAGAAAGTCTAGTGGTGTAATAGTATGGAAAAGTCTGGAATAATTGTTTAAATGATACTGGCATCCTTCTTGATGGAGGATCCAGTTACATTATTACTACTATACCGTTCTTTGCTCCAGGATAGAAAAATGTTAATGTTATTAAGATAGGAATCTTAAAGGGGAACCAGCCGTTCTTAGTAAAAGTGAGAGGAGAGTGAGCTTACACTGTAATTTTAATATGAAAGAGATTTCTCAATTCAGGCATAAGTTACAGGTATAGGGTTTGTTTGTTTGCGTTAGGGAAGTAAGCATTGTAAGCATTAGGGAAGTTGTCTAGGCCATTTTATCTTGCTTTTTAGTGAGCTATGCAGAAACTGTATACTTGGGCACTCAGGAAGGCAGTCCAGGATCCTTGTGTAAGGTAAAGGTTGTCTTTATGAGAGAGAAACGCATTCATGCTTGACTGTGTTCTGATTATGTTCTTGCTAGAAAGCTTTCCACGTAGGGGTGATAAATGAGTGAATACTTTTTTTTTTTTTTTTTCCCTAGCCATCTACACTGACTGTTGTTAACTAAAAGTTACTTTTGGTCATGGCATTATAATAAGTTTATCTAGACATACTTTCTCTCGAGTAGAATATTGAACTTCTATGAAAAATTTCAAACAGAAAAAGAATCCGAAAGTAGGTTTCAGTCCTTTTCTGGCTTCTTAATGCTTTACGTTAGGCGGTTTCTGCCATCTAGCATGTCTTGTCCAAAACTTAATTTTCTCAAGCACCTTGAAATGCCAGAGGTCTTTTCTTTATTGCATATAGGTAATGTCAGGGAGTTAATGCGCTCTTGCACAAGCAGGTGCTTTTTCTGCGGAGATAGTTGTAGTGAGCTGGATCCGAGTACATCAGTGGTGCCATCTGGTGGCCAGGGGGGGAAGAAAAAAGGTAAAAAAATTGCCTGCCTGGGATCTTCATAGTTCCAAGAGTTAGTATCGTTAGCCTTTCGACCCAAGATCTGCTGGCATGACATACAGTAATATCGCAACACAATCTTGGCTGCAAAATCATGCTCGTTTAAAATTGTGGTTCTGGTTATTTCTGCAGTTTTGTGGGACACACACATATAACCGCACCCATATCTGTTTTACACTGTCTCTTCACATCTGCAGTAGCAGTTCTGCTGCCAAGTGTTACAGTGCTGATGTTAAGATAGAGCTAGTAAATCCAGTTGATTTCATCTAGCAATATGTGTCTCTTTCATGTGCTTTGCTTAATGCGCCTTAATCGAGTTTGGATAAGTTTTGTAGAATTTAACTCCAGGGCTCAGTGCTCTTGCCACATTAGTAATGAGCTGGCACTTTACTAATTAAGGCATGACTCCTTTCTGGGAAAATAGCCCATTTAGAGTATGATTGTTCTGAGGTGGGAGGTTAGGACCTTTGAAAAATACATTTAGAACAGGTGATTTTTAAAAAAAAAAACAAGTTTAACTCTCCACATATTTTTACAGGAAGGTAAGGATGTATTCTTAGTCTGAAATAGCTGAAGTGGAATACAACACTGGTTCTCTAATCTCTGCTGTTGGAAAAGTAATGAGTAATAATAGAAAATGTCTTAATCCTTTTATATTGTTGTTCACTCTTCACCAGATAGTTTTCAGTGTCCTGTTTCATAACTTGTCACCTGTACCTCCTCTTTTGAATATAGGGGATGGCCCCTTTCCAGGAGTGATTGACATGTATGGTGACGAAGGAGGTTTGATTGAATTTAGATCCAGTCTCCTGGCTACCCGTGGTTTTGCTGCGCTTTCTCTGCCATATTTTGATTTTGAAGATCTGCCTAAGGTCATGAAAGAATTCAATCTCGAGTACTTTGAGGAGGCAGCTAGATTCCTACAGCGCCACCCAAAGGTGAGTGTAATGAGAGATCTCTTAGGATAAGATAGGAGTCAGCAGTCATGCCCAAGTGGTGGTAGTGATTTTTTTTGAGTATCAGTTTTTGCTGTGCAAGTTTAGGCCCAATAATGGAAAAAGTGTAGGTCCTGCATAGGTGGCTATGCATATGACTGGGGAGAGTGAATTTCTTCCAGCACAAGCTGATAAATAAATTCAAGCTGGAAACTAGAAGATTCCTATCATTAGAACAGTGAAGTGCTGGAATATCCTCCAAACAGGAGCAGTGATGATAAACTAATTGCTTTCATTTTTAAAAAACCTCACATCTTTAAGAGATGATGATACAAAACTACTCAATAGTCAGCAAAGGAATGGATTTGATGAGTTGGGATGTTGCTTTCACTTTTACTTTCCAGGCTAGAAAAGGACAAGGCTAAATACTACTTACCTAATGCTTCAAATGTCATTTATGAGGTTACTTTATTTGCCTGAGACTTACACAGCCATAGACTGTGCTTGAATTTCCTGCTACCTGTTTTGGGGATAAGATACTTGCATCAAAACATGCAGCAGGGACTAGGTGACATCCAAGTGGTGGTACTTTTTGTGCTTATCTCTGTTATTTTGTGGGGTTTGACAGCTCTTGTTGTCTCTGGAAAATAAGACACTAAATAGAGGGAGGAGCCTGGGTCCAGGCTGTAGCTTTCTAACAGGTCACATCAATATTTAACCTAACCTAAACTTTTTTTTTTTTTTTTTTTTTTTTTTTTTTTTTTTTTTTAAATAACACAACTCCAAAGGCATTTACTGGCTAATCCCATTATAATGCATTCCTCCCTTATTCCTTTCTTCCTCTCTTCCCCACCCCCTATCTTATCTGAAGGTGAAGGGACCAGGAGTTGGAGTGATTGGGACTGGAAAAGGGGCAGAATTAGCCCTCTCCATGATCACCTTCCTGCCAGAAGTAGTGGCTGCTGTCTGTATCTCTGGATGTAGTTCAAACACAGTTGCAGACCTCCATTATGGTGAGATGACTCTGCCTGGGCTGCGTTTTGATATGAATAAGGTCAGTGTTTCTGACACTGGCGTATTTGACATTTTTGAAGCTCTGGATGACCCAATGAATCCTGCTAATTCTCCCTGCACAATTCCCATTGAAAAAGCAGAAGGTCACTTTCTCTTAGTGGTAGGGGAAGATGATCGTATGTGGAAGAGCTCCTTATATGCTGAGCTGGTTATCGGGCGTCTACGCCAGCATGGGAAAGAAAACTTTAAACTCTTGAGTTATCCAGGAGCAGGTCACCGAATTGATCCTCCTTCTACTCCATTTTGTCAGGTAGCTATGGATCGTGTTCTGGGGGTGCCTGTTCTTGGGGGTGGAGAAAGCAAAGCACATGCCCATGCACAGGAGCACTCCTGGAGAAAGATTC